ATTTCAGATATGATTTGTCTCTAAATGAATGAAAAGGATGACTAAACAGTTCATGTTAAATACAGTATTGCTTTTGCATGGCTGATTAATGACTAATCAACATAAAACTAGTCTAAAATAATGCAGTTTAAGTAAAAATAATTAACAGTTTTTTTTATTCATATTTTTATTCTAATATAAATACATTGGGTTTAAAAGAATTCAGCTAATTTCTGGGCCAGTATGTGGTAATAATTTGTACAGTAATAATGACAAATTGTAGCTCTTCCCAACAGGGCAAACCCGCAACAATCAAGAATTACTTGCTGCCAAGGCTTTGCAATCAAAAAACGTGATTATAATGGGACAAAAACAGCCACCAACATAACGAAAGGGCAGTAAATTTACCCACAGCATTTTCCCAAAATATGTGCATGTCAAAATAAGATTTGCCACCAAACATCATTCCAGTTGCTGAAACAGAGAAAGAAGTGGACCAATTAAGAGTGAATGAAAACAACCAACAGCATACAAGAGTTAATTCATTAGTTTTTCCCAGTGTAGATATACTCAAATGAGCCCTGCAGGTGTGTTTTGGTCACTGTCCTTTAAACAGAGCTTTGTAATTGGGGATGTAGAGATGACTGTGGTCAAGGCTGGTGTTAAATGAGTTATCCTGGAACATCCCGCACAGTCCCAGGTGCTGCGAGAAGGTCTGGGAGATGGGGTGATAGGAACAGGGTGAGGATTCCAGCGTCGCGGGTCGAGCGCCGTAATCACTGGATGTAGTTTTAAACATCAGGCTGTGAGGTCTGGACAGTGCTGGATCTCCATCTGACTCCTGAGATCCTGCTCTCAGTGTGCAGGAGAAAACTGGGTTTCCAGGATTCGCACATGGAGGCTGATGCGCAGAGTTCGACATTGTGATTGCAGGCTGGAAGTAATACAGGTGAAGTCAAAATTACAGCCCTCCTGTGAATTTATTTCCCAAATGATGTTTAAGAGATTCAGAAATTTTTCAGTGTTTCCTATAATATTTTTTCTTCTGGAGAAAGTCTTATTTGTTTTATTTATTGGAATAAAATCAGTTTTTAGATTTTTGAAACCATTTCAGGTCAATATTATTAGCCCCCTTAAGCAATGTTTGCTTTCTGATTGACTACAAAACAAATCACTGTTATGCAATGACTTGCCTAATTACCCTAACTTTTTATATAATTTTATTTTTTATTTCTTCTATAAGTACAAACTAGTTCTACTTAGAGAAATTGTACTTAAAAATAAATAAGATTTTGTTAAATGCCCTACTTATTTACTTGATTTAGTCATTTAAATTCCAAGTTATTTTAATACAATATTTGTTAAATAAATATTTATTTATTTAAATCACAATGGATTTATGTTTAATCCTTTTTTATTATTTTATTTTTATTTACTTTTTACTCAAATTTTTTTTTACATCTATCTATCTATCTATCTATCTATCTATCTATCTATCTATCTATCTATCTATCTATCTATCTATCTATCTATCTATCTATCTATCTATCTATCTATCTATCTATCTATCCATCCATCCGTTAGTCCGTCTGTGTATCCATCTATTTATGTATCCATCCATCCATCCGTCTGTGTATCCATCTATCAATCTCTCTGTCTATGTATCCATCTATTTATCCATCTATTTATATATCCATTTATGTGTCTAGCCATCCGTCCATGCATCCTTTCATCAATCTTATCAATCTGTCTGTCTATCTATATATCCATCTATGCATCCATCTAGCCGTCCATCCATTCATCCGTCCGTCCATCCATCCATCTATCTATCTATTATAGATCAATGTTGTTTTTAACTCTTATTAGAAGTTCCAAGGGTTCAGTCAAAGCAGGGTGAATCAGCTTTCAGCCACTACGCCCCCCGCTGCTGGAATCAGCTTCCAGAAATGATCAGATGTGCTCCAACATTAGGCACATTCAAATCAAGACTGAAAACACACCTGTTACTGTGCTGCGTCCGACAGATTGCACTATTATGTTTTTCTCTTCTTCTTCATTCTTTTATATCACATTTTACCTGTTTTTATTTTTTTAAACCATTTTTATTATTTGTTTTTATTTTTATTTTACTTGTTTCTTTTCTATATAAAGCACTTTGAATTGCCACTGTGTATGAAATGTGCTATATAAATAAACTTGCCTTGCCTTAACAATTTGATATTATATTTCTATCAGTTAATTTTAATATTCATCATTTTAGATGCATTAACGTTATTTATTTAGCATATACTGATGTTTTCTTCCACCTCATGTGTAATATAAAATAGTGAAAAATAAATAAATATGAGGAAGTAAATGCAGCTTACCAGTTTTACGGCGAGAGCTGACTTCTTTAAACGCCGCTTGTGTTGTAGTTACGTCTCTATGGTAATGACTGGTTACAGCGCGTGCGCACAAATTAAAGTCCAAAAAACTAACATATCAACTTTCGACCGCCTAGATTTGTTCGGAAATTATATTTAACCTTAGGAATCGTTATTAAACCGATTAAACTTTGTTATCAACCACGCATACAAAGATAGTTTACAAATTCCGAGTCACTCACAGGACGCGTGACCCCGCTAAGATGGAGTCAAAGGGAAATGTAGTTTTTGGAGTCCAAGAACGTTAGTGTGGCAAGCACGTATAAAACTACAACTTCCATACATCGCCCATATTGCAGCCGCCGCCGTGTTGTTATTCGTACGGTGTGATGTTGATGTTTTGGCTCTGTTGGAGAGGCGTGACGTTTAATGCTAGATTTGCACAGAGGACATTTGCCTTCTTCCCTTTTCCCGCTGCAGTTTACTTTTAATACAGGTAAGGACTGCAAACGAAGCTTTTTGTGCAGTTTAAAGTCAGAATAAAGCGGAAGCAGGACCGATGGATTCATTCATATTGTTGTGTATTTAGTTATTTATAGTCAGTTTTTTTACGTTCATCTCTAAACTCCAGCGTTAAAGCTTACATGAGGAATCAAATGTTAAGTTTGGGCGCGATATTCGGGTGGATATTAAAATAACAAGTCTTAATTTTACATTTTGGAGTCTCTTGCTAAGGTTTTATTAGCCTAAAATAGGATTTAAACTGTGACGTAATGTTGCCATGTATTAGTCTGCAGGGGATAGCACATATTATCACACTTCATGGAGTCATAAACAGTTTTCTGCATCATGCATACCAGATTTGCTCTGTATATCGGGTTATAACAGACTGTTATAAACATACACAAACAAAACAATAACTTTCTTTAAAAATAATGCATCTCAATGTGTTAATTCAGATGCTTTTGCACTTATTAGGTTTGTGTGTTAAGTGGATGTTGTAAGATATGTGCAATGACCGTGTTCTTCTGATTTTTTTAGACGATCCGACAAACCAGAGTGGGTTATTTTTGTTGTCACTTCCTGAAAAACAAACCAATGAAAGTACCAGATGATAGTTTTGATTCAGGACTGTGGTATTTTAAAGAAGCTCTAAATTAGATGCCCTCACATTTTTTTCTAAATTTACATGCAGCTTCTGAGATTCAGTGAACTCAAAATGGCATATGGGTTTAAATGCATTTTGCATGAAGAATTAATATAAAAACATGTTAGTTGTTAGTGTATTGAGGTTAAAGTTGGTTTTATATTCACATATTCAGACTTTCTCAATAATATAATTTCAGAAAACCATTCTTTGCCAATTGTAAATAGCGAAATTATATTAGCAGCCAATGACTAACAAACTACACCATTGCTCACAGTCAATTAAATAGTGATAATATTGCTTTATAGTCATACTTGCACACAATTTCAGACCAAATATTTGATGTAGCATGGTAAACAATATAGGGAGTTGTCACTGAACGAATGTGCGAATATAAAACCAACTTTACCTCAATTGTTATTATCTCTAACGCTTGTTGTTTATGAAGACTTCTATTCGCATGACTTCTGCAAACACAGAATAATCATTTACCAGTGACAGGGTCAGCCTGACATTTCCATCCCATGTTGTAGCATTCAGGTAGATGTCATTGCATTGCTGAAGATAGCAACAGATGAGAGCCGAAAGTGTGCTGAATTTGCATTGTGTGTTTTGCAAATGTGTTTATTTCCTTCTGAAAATAACAGTCCATCATTCTGTTGTTTACTCTTGTTTTCTAGCTGGCTGAGAGATGTCTGAAAGCTCCAGTGACACGGAGTCGTCCTGCGGATGGACCGTCATTAGTAATGAGGTGATTAGGGTTTCATTGTACGGATCATTCACTTCTGTTTAGGTTGACCTGTACTCTCAGTACAGATGCACTTTGGATGATTTTTTTTTATTTGAGCAAAGAATTTGGAATATACTTGAAACTTGGGCTGCACAAAATATCGTTTCAGCATCGATATCACATTATGGGCCCTATCATACACCCGGCGCAATGTGGCGCAAGGTGCGGCGCAATACTTGTTTGGTAGTTTCAGCTTGGCGTAAGAGTCGTTTTGAGGCGTTGCGCTACGCTGTTTAAATAGCAAATGCATTAGCGCTCATATGTGCGCCCATAGGCGTTCTGGTCTAAAAAGGAAGGTGTTCTGAGGTGCACTGCTGGCGTGTTGCTATTTTGAGAAACTATAATAGATTTTTCATTAGACCAAAACTAACCCGGTCTAAACTCCAGCGCAGAGTTGCGCCTCGCTTACACACTGCTTAATACACACAAAAGAGCAATAGGCAAATATCTTTACATATGAAAAAATGTAAATATTAAGGATATATATAGGATATAATAAGAATAGATATAGAATATAAATATAAAGGATTAAAATATTACAAAACATATTATTTTCTAGCCTACATAAATATGAAAAATCACTGCTTTTATGTCTTCCTCATCTCGGGAGACTTTTTCAGTTCATTCATAACAATTTGCTTTAGTATAATGTTATTATTATTAGCAGTATTATTTATTATATCCATATTTATATTTGTTTTATGAAAAACAAGCTTAGATTTACCCACCTGTCAGGTTTTAGACCATATGGGGCACAGAGCATGTGTTTTAGGATATAACTCACGTTTTTGAGCACACTTCATTATTATTGTTCATTTATTCGTTTGCTGGAAATTAGAACTGAATTTAGAAATAGTTTTGAAACGAATATTTGTGCTTAACAAATGCAATTAATTATTTATAGACTAATTGAGGTCTGTGCGTAAAGGTTTCCCTATCCAAGAGCGAAAGTGAAAGTAGATCCATTATCTCTCATTCTCACGCAGTAGATGCTCTGTTTAATTGTATTCTGTTAATAAACTGTAAACTGTTTGCAGAGTATATGCCGAAGCATGCTAACAGGACTTTTAATTTGCCAGTGACCTGGGTTAATCGTTTCCGGTGAACTGTATGCCAATGCAAAATGTGAAACTCGATATAAAGTGGGTCTCAGATCGTACAAGAAGCACTGCATTAAATGACATTTCCCCCGCCATGTCTTTATAATATGAGTATTTATTTTACCCCAGTATATTCAATAGAGCTTCTGCGCTAGCCTGCCGATTCTGACAGGCACGTGCGAGTAAACTGCTTTTTGTCTCGTTTTACACTAGAACAACTAAATGAATGCCGAAGTCTGTTTAACTGAATGTATTTGAATTACATTACAACATCGATGCTGTAAAAAGAAACGTATAAGATGAAAAAAACTTATAATAACATTATCAGTATGGGAAACACACTAGCTCGGCGTATACCCCATTGAATTTAATACCGTGTGTTAATAATTGCTTTTTATTGGATAATTAAATTTTTTTGGCTGAACTATTACTTTAGGGTATAATAACCTTGCTGTCTGTGTGTGTGTTTGTGTTATAGGGATCGGATATTGAGACACTGGGGCCGGATAATGCTGGCGAGTGTGAGGATGGAGTGGTTAGCCTGCCTTCACATGTTCCCGATGGTAGGGATGTCACCATTTGTGCCATCTTTAATTAATATACACAAAACTATATGGCTATTCTTCTGTGTATGTGATGGAAACACATGTACTGAATAAACTCCAGCATGCGCATCAGTAAAGAGATTGAGTTTGAACAGAGGATGATCAGATATAAAAGTGCTTGCAAAGTTTCTAGCACATTGTAAAACATCTGAAATGTAGCTTTGCTCTTTTCTAAAAGCCCTCAGCTAAAGTCTGTCATCACAGTGCTTCAGTGTTATTATTATTCTATTGTTATTCCCTCCAGGACTGTCTTGAGCATCTGTCTGTGCTCCCAAAGAGCATCTCACACCTCCAAAAGCCACCGCATTGCATTCATGGTGTTTCATCCTTGACTTCCTAGGCACAACTCATTTATTAGAGAATATAAAAACACCATAGTGGCTTTTCCAGATGCACTAAACTGATATTTGCTCCAGTTTCTCAGGAAGTCAGGACTTTGTTCACCTTCACTCTTTGGATGGAAATGCTGCTTTATTTACAAATGTTTTATGCCAGGGGTGTCCAAACTCGGTCCTGGAGGGCCAGTGTCCTGCAAAGCTTAGTTCCAACCCCATTAGACACACCTGGGTCATACCTGTCAACCCTCCTGTTTTTCCCGGGATTCTCCCGTATTTTACAGTTCTATCCCGCTATCATCCCGTAACGGTATTTTCCCATGTGTCTCCCGTATTTTCTGTCTTCCTCTGAAGGGTGGCAAATAAACATTTAATAGTCAAGCCTCCCTACATGCAATCCATACAGCCGAACCACTAGGGGCCGCCCCTTGCTCTTAAATGTGAGTCTGTTCTGTGCTTTCGCTTTGTTTAGGCAGGAAAACACTTTGAAATAAACATAAAAACGGCGCGATTCCCTTCCTTTTCATTTCAAGTGTCGTCTCCCGTTCATTTGCAATCATCTAAACCAGGGGTGACCAACCCTGCTCCTGGAGATCTACCTTCCTGCAGATTTCAGTTTCAACAAACACACCTGCCTGTAATTATCAAGTGCCGTTCAGATCCTAATTAGTTGTTTCAGGTGTGTTTGATTAGGGCTGGAGCTGAACTCTCCAGGAAGGTAGATCTCCAGGAACAGGGTTGAGCACCCCTGATCTAAACAGTCATATAGAGGCGCATGACTATCAGCTGACGCACTCCATATTGATAAACAGACGCTGTTTCCCAAACGGATTCTGTACTCGTGATTAACAGACATATACACATAATTAATAATATTACTATCTAAAGATGTCGATCTTGGTAAGTTGTTTTTTTTCAAACACAAGTAATTTCGTCCTTACAGAGCATAAACAGTTAGGAAAGCAATCAAATGCGTTCATTATAAAGTTAGATGTGTGCATTTTTAATGTAATCAAACGAAAAAAATCTAAATAAATCATTCATTCGTCGCTCTATAAACAGAATGTGTAAATTATAAAGTGAAGAAACGACTAATGAGATTTGATTCAGTTTCATTATAATAGCTATTAATTTTAACAAGCTGAACTGTTTGCTAATTTATTTGCTGCTGATGAAATATTATTTATTTTTTCTTTTGTAAATAATAATAATAATAAAACATTACTGACCATTTAACTGATTATTTATAATGAAACAGCTCAGTTCATTCATTCATTCATTTTCTTGTCGGCTTAGTCCCTTTATTAATCCGGGGTCGCCACAGCGGAATGAACCGCCAACTTATCCAGCAAGTTTTTACGCAGCGGATGCCCTTCCAGCCACAACACATGAAACAGCTCCAAATGAGCATATTTAGTAATGTGGGGTATTTTTAAAAGGCGGTGGGGGGAATCCCTTATTATGGCGGGCATATCCCTTATTTTCACATACCAATGTTGACAGGTATGACCTGGTTTAGCTAATCAAGCTCTTTCTAGACACATTCATGCAGGCGTGTGGAGGCAAGTTGGAGCTAAAATCTGCAGGACACCGGCCCTCGATGACAATTCACGTTATTGTATGGAAACACAGCTACTGTATGATAACCGTTTATTTCTGCACATAAAATCAAATGAATAAATGTTGTAGACAAATAATTGAATGTGTTTTCAGCCACACAGGTTGAGGAGAGTTTGGGAGAGCCTTCTCTCAACCTCACACTGCGAGCGGAGGCCACATCTGAACCTGTCAGAGAGGTACGGTTAAATCATTTGTTATAGATCTCCAAAGAGATGTTCAGTAGCATTACTGTGTTTTACTGTGTACACGTGCATAAATCACACCATGGACATTACATTAAGATGCCTAAAGGTTTAAAAAAGCCTATATATCAAAAGTAGATGGACAAATGAGAACCTTTCTGTCATAAACTAATAGTAAAGCAGCTAGTAAAAAAGCTGTGAACAGATTAAGGAATAGAGAAAAGAGCACTCTTTCATTATCAGCTGTTAGTCAGCGCCCACTCTTTTTTTTTTTCCTGGTCGTTTTGCTGTGTGCTGTATGAATGCAGACGATCTCACACGAGTCACTTTTAAAAGATGATGTAAGCAGGTCATCAAAAAAATCAAATACAGTCACAAAATCGGAATTGACCATCAGTGGCGTAGCGCAAAATGCGGAGGCCCCCCTGCAGGCATCGCTGACGGGGCCCCCTGATGAAGGGGGGGAAGGGGGGAAATACGTCATACGTCAATTTGCATATCACTGACGTCATCACGTTCTACCGTTTCTGTTTGTTTAACAGCCTGTGGTTAATAAAGGGGTATTTATAATTGCACTACACTTTATATAAGCATGTTTATTTAACTAAATTAGAATACAGTATGTCATTATAGATGTGTAGTGAATGTGCAGTAATCTCTCATATGTAATAAACTCAGACAAGTTCAGAAACTGTCACTAAAATATCTGTGATTGTGAACAAGAAAAGAATAAACGGTCCAATTAAATTGTTAAAATAAAGCGGAAGTAGATCGGTTTGACTGTACAAGGGAAAAACCTTCACACTGCCTGTGCTAAATCATTTGTCGTCGGTACGCAGAGGGGTGATCTGCTCTCGGGCTGCAGGTGGGAGAGGCTGCTGTACGAGGACTGACTGGGCCGCCTGTCAGTGCTGTGAGGCGGGGGAGGGGCCGGCGGCATCACACGCAGCTCGTTGAGAAGAGTAGGGACGGTACAGTATGGACAAATGACAGTCTAAAAAATCTCCAATAACACACAAAAAAGTCGATAGATTTGTCGCTAGGGGGGTCTGAAAAGTCGCTAAATCTAGTGACAAAGTCGCTAAGTTGGCAACATTGGCGGCAAGCAATCAGAATGAAGTAGACCACCGCTTGAGAGGTGTTCAGAGAACACAGACCTGTGAACTTTGGTTCCGACCACAGTTGTTCCCAAGAGTTTGATTATTGCGGTTGCCGGGCTTTCCATTATTGAAAATCGCGATGACGGGCCCGTCCGCTACGCTACGCCACTGTTGACCATCAAGATCTGCAGTGTAAATGCAGCCTTTACTGTAATTTGATTGTAATGCAATAATATGCACCTTTTTCATGGTGGCTCAGTGGTTTGCACTGTCACCTCACAGCAAGAAGGTCGTTGTATTGAGTCCAGGCTGGGTCAGTTGGCATTTCAGTATAGAGGTTGCATGTTCTCCCAGTGTTGGCGTAGGTTTTCTCCGGGTGCTCCGGTTTCCCCCACAGTCTAAACACATGCACTAATATGACGGTGATTTGATGCTTCACAAAAGTTGCAGACGCCTTAACCAATATCAAAATGCTTTTGTAAACATCCAGTTATTCTTTACACCGATTAAGAAACCGGCTACTATAAAACTATGACTGCTATAATAAAGAAAATCTGCTCTAACTGTAAAACTAAATAAATTGCTAAATACATGAAGAGTAAAGCATGCAGCCCACAACAAACGTGTAAAGTTATTGCCTGTCATATTTAACAAACCGTTTCCTGTTTTATGTAGTTTTGTTCAAATGGATAATTGAATATTAATCAGATGATGTCATTACGCTGCTGTGCCGTCAGCCAATCGTCGCATTGCTGATCATGATTTCGAGGATCGATAGATCTGTCCTTCACAACACACACAGCGATCTCAGATCAGTTCATCCAGACATTTTAATCTGATTCGAGAACTTTTTTGAAGAACCAAATTAGCCAGAGATCAGTCAAAGGAGATCTTCCAAATCATCTTAGATCAGTGGTTCTCAAACTGTGGTACGTGTACCACTAGTGGTACGCGGGCTTCCTTCTAGTGGTACGCGGAGGAATGCAATATGCCATGTACATGCTACATATATTTCAAAATTTATCAAAAATGATGTATATAGTATGCCATATATGACATATAGCCTATATATAGCCACATTTTTTAACTGTGCAGAGTTGTAGCTGCTTTACTGGGCCTACTACACTACTGTATTTCAATACTGCTCATTTTGGTGGTACATGGAGAGACAATTTTTTTCTGAGGTGGTACTTAATGAAAAAAATTTGAGAACCACTGTCTTAGATCATCTAAGCGAGGTACGAAGAACGGACCCCAGATGCGCCACGCAGCGCCATGCATTTTAGTATTGTAAACATAGGTTTCTATCAGGATACACACACCAGCACCACAAGTTAGTGGCTGTCCGCGGCGTCCAGCGACATGTTCGTATTTCTACCACGCCATCTAAATAGTTTAATTGTAAATAACATGCTAATGTGCGCATCTGTTCTGCGATACTTTCAGCTGTCATGTATGCGCAATGTCTTGGCGCATCTGGTTTGCGACCTGCTTTATACTTCAGTTTCTTATCAAATCTTCTGACCAATCAAAAGTTCTCTAGTATCTGACATGCCCCGCCCCTTCTTCTTAATTGCCTTTCAGTTGATGCACTAGAGCTCATCCACCCTCACTGGCTAAGCGGTGATTAAATAAAACACTATTGGCTGTTTTTTTCTTTAAAGGGGAGGAGCTACTCTATGCCCCGCCCTCTCTTGATGTGTCAGTTGAGATGACCTCAAACATTGAAAAAAAGAATGCACGTTCCAAAGCACTTCACAGGACCTTTAATAAAGTGTTTTATTTCCTTTAATGAAAAGTTTCTCTGTCCTCTCACAGGTTGAGGCTGGTGCAGAAGAGCATGTGATTCTGTGCTCCTCCAGTGACAACTCGGACATCATCACCCTTGGAGATGCTCGGGAGGCGGAGACTGAGGAGGAGCCTGTTGTTAAGAAGACGGAGGAAGCAGGAAGTGAGGATCTCGGAAGCTCTTCCAGCAGCCAGTACACGTTTAGAGAGTCGGAGAAAAGTGAGTAGAAAATGCTATGAACAACACTGCAATGCTGGAGATTAAGTTGGTTAATTAAGTGTTTATATAAAGGTGACTTTGGGTTGTGATTGTTGATGGCAGAGTATATAGTTTATTATAGTTTAGCTTATAGTTATAAAATTTAGAATAACCAGATCAGTGGTCCTTGGACGGGTATCAGTCCGCGGATCAATTGGTTCCGGGCCTCACAAAAAGTCATTAATTATTTCCGTTTTATTTATTATCTGAGTCTGAAGGATCTTTAATTTGAAAAAAACTTTTATTTTGAAAAATGATCGTATTTTCTGTTACATAATGGTCACTTGAGCGGTTAAATGTAACCCAAAAGTAGCCAAATTAGTAAGAAACAATCGTCTTTGAAAAGTTTCTTTGCTAAAAGGGGAAAAGGCCCAGTGAAGAACCCTCAAGCTGCCAAGGAATAGATCCACATCCCGTTCATCAACAACTCATGTGAATCCAGTATCTCTGTGGAGATCGCAAATGACGGATTTATGCCGCGAGCGCACCGCGAGTCACATGACAAGAACTGTCCATCATTGACCGATCCTCAGTGATAAAAAGTTTGAGGACCACTGTTCTAGATAACTGCTTCTCTGCTATCCTTGAATCTTTTAAGTGTAAAGCGCTTTGAGAATTACATTTTAAAGGCTTTATATAAAATCAATTATTACTATTATTATAGTTTATTATTTTGTGTGTATGCATTTTATTTACTGGTAAAATATTTTTCAAATAATGCTGGATGATTTATTGAAATGAAATAATTATTGTGATATGGCTTACTTAAAATAATTATAAAATGAGCAAAATGGGCTTTTTATTTCAATAAGTATTATATTTTAACAGTTTATGATCTGCCTTTTCTGTTTCTCAAAGCATTTTAAGACATATGATGAAAACGTTCAACGTTAATATTTCTTAATTAGGTTAGTATCTTTAGTTTATAATAATAATTTATAATAATTAATTCTACTATTAATAGTAGTAATTAATAATAATAATAATAATAATAATAATAATAATAATAATTGTTGTTGTTGTTGTTCATATGTTTTATTTTTTTATATTATCATTATTATTGTTGTTGCTGTTGTTTATTTAAATATTATTACTATTGTTAGGATTTTAATTATTATTAATATTTTATTTATATTATTATTAATATTGTTAATATAATTATGATCAATAAAAAATCATCACACTTCCTTTTGTTGCATGAAGTTTCTATATTCAGACATAAGGTAGAAAATGAGAAAGAACAGTACAGTTTTAAAAAGCAATTTTTTTCCCCAACCAAAAACCTCCTGAATGGATTATAATTACAATTTCCCAAATTTGGAAAGAGGAACTTTCCAGGTGAATCAAATGATGAAAATAAATATCTAATCTCTGTTATCTGTATTCATCATCTGCCGTTAGTCTGAAAACTCTGGGTGAATTCCAGAGCAGGTTGTAAAGGGTGTTGGGAAAGTTTCTGAATTCCCCCTAACATGCTCTGGAATTCCCAGTTCTCCCCTTTTTGTTGACCTTGTTGTTTATTTTATTATTGCATCTTGTAAAGAAATGTTTAATTTGTATATATATATATATTTTGTATTTCAGAAATGTTTTGTATCTCATAAATGTGTCTATATCTTTTAGAAAAAAAGGTTAGTTGTGAGATGCCACCAATCAGACACAAAAATCAAAATAAAGTTAAAATTCTGAGATATTAATGTAAAATGGAGAAAAAAAATTAAGCCTGCCACTGACTAAAGTTAATAGAAATGCTGTTTTTTTCGCCCTCAAAGTTGTAAAAGTGCAATACAAGCTTAATTGCTAGATTAGCTCAGAATTCATTCATTCATTCATTCATTCATTCATTCATTCATTCATTCATTCATTCATTTATTCATTAATTAATTCATTAATTCATTTATTTATTCATTCATGTTACATAAAAATTCTCGTTTTAATTGATGCAGTTTTTGGTTGGAAATATGTTTTTTTGCAATTAATTCCCAAATAGTGATAATAATATAAAAATAATAATGATAACAGTAAATTACTGTTGTTAGTATTTCAATAATAATGCATCAATAATAAAAATAAATCATTATTCCAATAATAATTAATTATAATAATAATAACATTAATAGCAAATTATAACTTTAATTAATTCTCAATAATTATAACAATAATAATCCATTGTTATTATTGTTATTATTATTATTATTATTATTAATCCATTATTGTTGGAATAAGAATTTATTATTATTATTATTATTATTATTATTATTATTATTATTAATGCATTATTGTTGGAATAAGAATTTATTATTGTTATTATTGTTATTATTATTATTATTATTAATGCATTATTGTTGGAACAAGAATTTATTATCATTATTATTATTATTATTATTATTATTATTATTATTATTATTATTATTATTATTATTATTATTAATGCATTATTGTTGGATAAATAATTTTGTATTATTATTATTATTATTATTAATGCATTATTGTTGAATAAATAATTTTGTATTATTATTATTATTAATGCATTCTTGTTGGAATATTAATTTATTATTATTATTATTATTATTATTATTATTATTATTTATTATTATTATATAGAATTATATAACAATGCAAAATTTCAAAATAAGCTTTTTTTTTTGCTTCACATATCTTTATTGTGCCTCTGTGGTTAAATATGTCCCCGTATAATATTGTCATCAGCCTGGTACTGGAGTGTGTGGGGATTGTCCAGGTGCGTGTGGGAATACAGCAGTCGCTCTCTCTCAGGTGCTGCTCTGGGACTCTGTGCATGTTGTGTTCGCATGCTGAGAAAGCTCAGAGGACGCTTGGCCTGTGTGTGTGTGTCTGTCATTATAAACACTATAAACCACATTAACCAGCCTGATGAAATGCACGTAAAAGTGTGTGAAAAAGCCACAGGAATGTGTTTGCTTGACCTACATGTGAAAGCTGTTGAAGTCAGAATTAGTCGCCTGTGAATTTCGTTTTCAAATATTTCCCAAATGATGTTTAGCAGGTTCAGGAATTTTACACAGTATTTCCTATAATATTTTTTCTTCAGGAGAAAGTCTTATTTGTTTTAATTTGGCAAGAATAAAAGCAGCTTTTAATAAAAAAAGGTCAATATTATTAGCCCCTTTAAGCAATATTTGTTTTGGATTGTCTCCAGAACAAACCATAACTTGCCTAATTACCCTAACTTTACCCTAATTAACATAGTGAAGCCTGTAAATGTCACTTTAAGCTGAATACTGGTGTCTTGAAACATATCTAGTCAAATATTATGTGCTGCCATCATAGCAAAGAGAAAATGAATCAGTTATTAGAGATGAGTTATTATGCTTAGAAATGTGTTGAAAACTAATCTAAAGTCATTTATGCGTGAAGTATTTTGATTAATCTTGCTTTCTGGGAATATCAGAGAACACAAAGCAGACATTGAGCACAGCTTTAGGCCGGTCATGTGCTGTTTAGGCCAGTGGCTCTGTAAACACGGCTGTTTTTCTGCAAACAGGAGCACAAATGAGCTGCAGGAGTCACTGATCTGTGCATTGCATTCACACATTGCATTGATATTCATCAGAAAATGTGTGTGTGTGTGTGTTGTGAAAATATTTATTATTTAATTATTGTTTTATTGATTGCTGTGTAATTTCTCAATGCTGTTTATGTATTTATTGGTTTATTCATTCAATGTGTAGTAACTATAATAATTGGCTTCCTTGAAGAGTAATAGAACACCCTGTGTGTGTGTGTGTGTGTGTGTGTGTGTGTGTGTGTGTGTGTGTGTGTGTGTGCGCGTGTGTGCGCGCGTGTTTGTGTGTCTGTGTGTTTCTGTGCATGTGTTTGTGTGTTTCTGTGTGTGTGTGTGTGTGTGTGTCTCCTCTGGGCTGTGCTGTCCACATGTGTGCATGAGTTTGTGTCTACACGTGTGTGTGCTGTTCACATTGTGTGTGTGTGTGTGTGTCTGCATGTATTTCTGTGAGGGTGTAAGTGTCCTCTGGCCTGTGCTGTACACGTGTGTGTGTGTGTGTGTGCCTGCTTGTTTGTGTCTGCATGCATGAATTTGCGTGTGTGTGTGTGTGTGTGTGTCTGTGAACATGCATGTGTGTGTGTGTGCGTGTGTTTGTGGGTTTATCTCCTGGGCTGTGCTATAATTGTGTGTGTGCGTGTGTGTGCGTGCGTGCATGCATGCTTGCGAGTGTCTGCGATTGTGTGTTTGCGTGTTGATCTCTAGGCTGTGCTTT